CCCGGAAATTCATCCCCTTGCAGTTGTTGGCAAGGCCACAGACGTCCTCGAACTCTTCGTAGAACTGGACCACGTCCCGGATGTCGGAGCGATCGTCGGTGAGCGAGGGCCATTGGAGGTCCGTCTTCACGGTCGTGATCGACGTCTGACCTCCGCGAGACGCCAAGGCCTCCTTGAGCGCCTCGGTCTGGGCCGCCAAAGCTGCAGCGATCTCTCCGGCTCCGCCGCTGGCGGAGTGAGGCTCGCCGGGCTTATCCTTCTTAAGCCCTTCGAGCTCTATCTCCAGAGCCGCAAGGCGGGACTTCAGGGGTGAGTCCCCCGGACCAGGTTGCGGATCCTCAGGGATCGCGAGCTGAAGGTCCACCGGGAGAGGCGCCGGTGCTCCGGACTTAGAGCCCGACTCCGCAACGGCGCCCGTCCGGGCCGCCAGGGCCGGGGCAGAAGAAGGAGTGCTCCAAACCTTCTCGGGATCGCCGCTGCTCTTGCCTCCCAGGGCCAAGATCAGCTCGCCGAGGCACGAGATCTCCTTCTCGACCTCCTCTCGGTCTTCCGACCCAAGAGAAGCCGCGGCAACGGTAAACCTGGTGCGCAGGGCCCGCACCATCCTGGCAGGGTGCCAGTCACCTCCCATTTTGCCGTATTCCTCGGCAAGGATGGTGGCCTTGGTAGTGATCTTCTCAAGATCCTCCACCGTGACCTCTGCCTGGTGCGCCTTCAAGGCCACAACCAGCCTTGAAACCCGCGTCCGGTAATCCGCGACCGGTTCCTGGTCGGGACGGTAGAGCTCCCGCAGGTCCGCCTGCAGGGTCTCCGCCGTGACGGGACCACCCGTCCCAGCAGACGAGGGAGGCCCGGAACGGGCCGGGCCGCCGGCCACCGGCGAGAGAGCAAGCGCACCAACACGGCGCGCCGTCTCGGCCACGTCCGCCAACGCAGCGGCAGGACGCGGAGCCGGTACCCCGGCCTCCGGCAGAAGCTCTTCAGAGCTGGGGCCCGGATCGCCATCCTGAGCACCCGGGCCCGCTTCCGCAGCTGGAGCTTCCTCATCTTCCTCTTCATCTTCTTCCTCTTCCTCTTCGGCATCAAAGTTGTCGTAGAGGAATTCCATCGTCTCCTTCCACAGACGCTGTTCATCTGCTAGCGTCGTGGATCGTCCGTCCTTCTTCTTGGTGGGACGGGACCCCGTTTCCTTACGCCAACGGAGCCAGTACATAAAGGGCATCTTCTCCGGGTACTCCACTGACCCATCCTCGATGCACCTCAGCAACGTGGCTCCTTCCGGCTGATCTGCGACCTCAGCGCTCATGGTCGCCTAGCGAAGGAGAGAG